GATTGTCTTTTTTCTAATTTTCTCTTTGTCAACAGTTTATTTTTATAGAATTGAAAACTTTGCAAGAGAAAATCAATTCTTGTGGTGGTATTAATGGCAATGTCAAGGTCACATTTAAAGATTTTTTCCCAATTCTGACATCTTTTTTGGAAGCAAACCTAAAAGTTGAAAAGAGGAGATGAAAAAAACATTATGCATAAAGAATTTAGCATGAAGAATTTTATGGTTAAATGCAAAAGATAATGATAAAATTGATTTATTTTTATAGAGTTACAATTGTAATCTTGTCAATTATGTATTGGGAATTCAATCTAGCTCTGTATAAAAATACAGATATCAGCATTGATTAGATTCGTTCCTAAGTGAAAGCTACATGGAAATCAATTGTTCATCTTACAAATTTTCTCTTACAAATCTAATATAGATTTATAATTTAAATAATATTGGCTATAGTCTTTAACAATATGAATTACATTTTGATTTCCTACAATATGTTAAGTTGATGGTTATCAAATAAGAACAGTATTTTCAATTTTTAGGCCCCCGCCGTAGGCATGGGGCATTTAGTGTTACCATCTTTCTGCCTGTCCGTCCTTTGCTCCATCCCATTTTCGTTTCCGCACTCTAACTTTAGCTTGCCTCATCCAAATTTTATGAAACTCATACACAATGCTAAAAACCACAACACACATACAGAGTTCAAATTTGGGCAGTGAGTCATTTACCGTTCTAGAGTAATGTCCCTTTTTAATTTGAAAACTGCAAAGCTTGAGCGGGGCCATTCAGACACGTTCTGCTTTTATTTTTCAAAAAGAGCAATTGAAAATGACTTTACTCGGATTTTGTCTTTTTTGTCTCACCTTGATGGAGTCAGTTTAAGGGGAACCACTTATGATAAGCCAATGATATTTGGTATGCAGTTGTATTAGCATTGGCATATCTTACTTTTATAAAAAATTATTTGGTCCATGACCTTCATTAACTTTGAATATTTTGCATATTTTACATCTTAATGTATCATGATTATTGGCATTTGAATTTCATTTTTATGCATTTCATAATAAAAATTACATACAGGCAAGATATATATCTGTATCAGCAGTTTATTTAGATTTAAGAAGGTTGTTGTTTGAAGTATGGATTTCAGAGAAAGTATTATAGGTTAAGATATAGAATACAATAACACCAAGGTGTGAATTTTTTTTTTTAATAAATCTGCTTGATTTGCAGATTTTTTTCAACATTGTCACTGAAACTGATTAATAATTTTCTTTTCTATCTGTCAATATAACTATATATATATGAAATATAATTACAAATAAAATGAAGTGGTTATCAGATAATTTTTTCTTATGACTATCACATTTCTGTACAATTTTTAATAACATTAAACTTCTAAGTGGATGATATGTACTATGTAACATACTACACATTAAACTGAGTAAATCGTGTATTACAGTTTGTACAATTAAAATTATAATTTTGGTCATCCAATAAGTCTGATCATTTAATGTTATGTCATCAAAATGCACGGTTTTAGCAGACAAACTGAATTAAAAAACTTGAATTTAAGTAATTTAAAACTTAGAAGCATAACAATATATAAGTTAACTAAAACCAGGATATCAAATGTTTTGGAAGGTTAAGCATGGTTAAGCATCAGACTTATATCTAAGTAACAGATAAATGGATTTATAAAAAATATATATTGTTCAGTGACTATTATCACCTGATACAAAAAGCTAATGACTTACAAGAAAAAGAAATACAATTAGCTAATGTTTTAAACTTAAGTTTTGGGATATACAAATTTCCATTATTAAAATCAAGAATGATAACAGGTGCTTTGAAATGGTAAGAACATCATGCATAGGATGCCCATAGTATTGGAAAGTGGTCAAAGCTAGTAATGAGTCATTCAGTAATTGTAATAACCAGTACAAGGTTCTGAAAAGCAGGTACTTTATTGTGTAATCAACTCCTCCTACATTTTTCAACTGAGATCTCTGAAACTACAGTGAAATATTGCATATGCGTTGTAGTTGTGCACCTGCTATTATGGGATTGTTTGAGGAATTTCTTCTTATTACACCTTTTGTTGCGTATGGTATATTGTTTTAGATCAATCAGTCAGTCTGTCTGTCAGTCAAGTTCTTGTCATCGCAACTCCTCTGAAAACACACAACAGAATTTCATGAAACTTTATAAATAATATGGACATAATATGTATGTGTGCATATTAACAGGAATTATGATTTGATTTTTATGCCCCCGCCGAAGCGGAGGGGGCATTAAGGTTTACCCTTGTCCGTACGTACGTACATCCGTGCGTACATCCCATAATTGGTTTCCATTCTCTAACTTAAGTTTGCCTCTTCCAAATGTTATGAAACTTATACACAATGCTTATTACCACAATACACAGATCAAGTTTGAATTTTGGGGGCGTCACTTTTACTGTTCTAGAGTTATGCCCCTTTACAAATTTTTTTTTTTTCCCAAAATATCAATGTCATTATTCAAGTAATTTTAAAATTGGAGTTATCTTCCTTTGTCCATGATCATTGTTAAATCAACTACAATCAATGCTTTATACAATGCAATGTTTAATTTTGCCTTCCACTGATAAAACACAGATCAAGTTGAATTTGGGTAGTGTCACTTTAACCATTATTGAGTTATGCCCTTTATAAATAGAAAAATTGCAAAATTTTTAGTTTCCATTCTGTAACTTAAGTTTGCCCCAACCAAACATTATGAAACCTATACACAATATTCATTACCACAAAACTAAGATCAAGTACAAATTTTTTGTTTCCGTTTTCTAACTTTAGTTTGCCTCAACCAAACGTTATGAAACTTAAACACAATGCTTATTACTACATAATACAGATTAAGTACGAAATTCAGTGGCGTCACTTTTACCATTCTTGAGTTATGTCCCTTTATAAACATAAAAATTGCTGAATTTTCCGTTCTCTAACTTTAGCTTGTCTCAACCAAATGTTATAAAACTTATACACAACCGTTCTAGAGTTATGCATGTTTACAAATAGAAAAATTGCTGAATTTTTTTGTTTCTGTTCTCTACTTAAGTTAGCCTCAACCAAATGTTATGAGACTTACACACAATGCTTATAACCACAAAACTCAGATTAAGTTCAAATTTGGGTAGCGTCACTTTTACCATTCTTCAGTTATGTCCCTTTATAACTATATGATATGCAAGAGGGGGCATCATCTGTGTCCACAGTGTCCACATGTGGACACAATCCACATTTATTTTTTCTAGGAATTATGTCCTCTGAACTTAAAATTTTGACCTAAATAAACGACTGCAACAGTTTTTCATTGCAACTCCTCTGAAACCACACAACAGAATTTCATGAAACTTTGTTGTTAATATGAACATAATATGTAGATGTGCATATCCTCAAGAAATTTTTATCAGTTAACTTTTGTATGAGTTATGAGTCTTTGAACTTAGGCATCTGGTAAGAGTTTGTTTGCCCAGTGACAATGTGGGGGCATTGGGTATGTGTGTGTGCTAACAAAGGTTCTTTAATTTACCATGTGGTAACATTATATTACTCATGTCAAAATGACACTTGTTCTATTTTCTTTTTATATAACATGCTGAACTGCTGATATCTTTATCAAATATGTGATATTATTAGTTACACAGTCACTGTGAAGCAAGACCCGAACCCCATATGGAATTAACTGACCCCATATATATTGTATTAGGTCACTAGCACACTGTGTAATGAATTTATCTTAACGACTATCTTAACATTTAGACTAGTGGCCTATCAAAATGATCAAGTCTTCAATATTTAGAACCTACTTCCATTGGTCTATACAAAAACAAATGCCAACAATAACCACTTGTTAGCTTTAATGTGTTTTCTGCATTTATATTCAGTCATTCATCAATTTCGTCATCTGTTGTTTGGGCGAAACGTTTCAGATTTTTCTTCAACATCATGTTATTTTATAAAGGGAGGTAACACTGCTACTAACCCATATTAAAAGATAAAACATGCCCACTAACCCCATATTAAATATACAGGGTCTCCACGTGTTTGCTTTTAACCAATGATATTCGTAGAAATGTATAGGAGGTAAGGTAAATGGTAATATTATATTATACTCTTATACAGTGAAACCTTTGTAATCTGTAAACCATGAACCGGTCTTAACTAAACTTTTGTAATCTGTAAACCATGAACCTGTCATAACCAAACTTTTGTAATCTGAAAACCATGAACTGGTCTTAACTAAACTTTTGTATAAAGAACTACAACAAAATGATCATAACTTTTTAGTAATTACCTGTATAAATATGTTACTAATAAGTAATCTCTGTAATCGGAACAAAATAGTCAGTACTGCAGAGATTTTATTTTATTTAAGTTTGAAATCAAACTATTCTGTCACTTCAGTCATTAAACTTGTATTGTGAATTGTTTACCTGTTTACCGTTAATAATTGACATAAAATTAATTCATCAAATACATCTCAGTCCAATATCAAATACATCTCAGTCCAATGTCAATTACATCTCAGTCCAATATTAAATACATTGCCGTCCAATCTTTAATTCATTCTTCAAATACATCTCAGTCCATCAGTGCTATCTTTAATTCATTCATCAAATACATCTCAGTCCAATATTAAATACATCTCCCTCCAATCTTTAATTCATTCATCAAATACATCTCCCTCCAATCTTTAATTCATTCATCAAATACATCTCCCTCCAATCTTTAATTCAGTCATCAAATACATCTCCCTTCAATCTTTAATTCATTCATCAAATACATCTCAGTCCAATTTTTAATAATAATTACAGACTGATTAAGTTTCTACAACCTTTCTACAAATCATGCTTTTTAGGTACAATAACAAGGCTGATTATAAAATACAGATGTATTTATACATTTTGATCTTGAAAAAAGGAATTTTTCTATTTCTAATCATGACTTTATTTATTGCAGAATCTGAATCAGAATGCAGCTGCAGGACCACAACAGACCATGCAGTCCCAGAATCCACAATCAATGGTCCATTCACCAGCACCGCCAATGTAGGTTACAGATTATATGATTATCAATGTAGAAAATAGTTTTTATAATTGTGAAATCACCTGTAACATATCAAACAGTAACGGCCTCTGGCCGAGTGGTATATGTAGTCAAACTACTGTATCGCTAGCCTGCCAACACTCAGGTTGTGAGTTTAAATCCAGCATGTGGCAGCTGTTTAATTGACTAGGATTGTCAGTTTTCCTACCAAAGGTGGGGTTCTCTCTGGGCATCTCCACCAATAAAAACTGACTGCCATGAAATTGCCAACAATCCTGAAAGTGGCCTTAAACACCTATCAATCAATCTATATAGAGCAGTAAAAAAATGTTATTCTTTGTACACTAATTAATGAATTTGATAAGCCAAAAAAAACCTCAAGAACACAGAAAATAAATAATTGTCTAGATAGTTTAAGTTTATTATGGTCATATATGTAATAAAGGTTTAATTAAAAAGAGCAATCTATGACTAAAGAATTGGAGTATTGATACATATGTTTAATATCATTTTATATTTAATTGTTAAGCTACACAATATTTTGAAGGAATTATACTTTTACAGTTTTCATAGCTGCAGATTTCATTATCGGTAAACAGTTGAGTTGTGTTTGGACAGCATGGGTAAACTTGGAAAAAACATTCTTTTCTCTTTTTCATTTTTAGTTATATATATTTTTTTAATTCTTGCATTTCTTTTCTTTCTTGTGTGATCTTTTCGGAGAGGAAAGAACTGAATACTGAATGTAAAATGTAAAGTCATGTATTTTATGTGTGAAACTGTCTATGGTGTTTGGTTGGTTATTTCTTTAAATCAGTGATGTCAGAATTATTACTAATGGTCAAAATGCACACTGTACACTCACTGACATTGATGTAAAGGCTAATGTCAGGTGCAAGTTTTTATTGTGGAATATCCTCTTAGTAATCCTTATTTTTTTGCAACAAGTTAAGGCAAGAGCTATAAACAAAGTTGTTACATGTTGAAATAAAAATTTCTATGATAAAACAGCTGGATTTAGGCAACTATGTCTTTATTTATATTTACCTAATTTCTGCCTGAGAAATAGTGTTGACTAACCTGGCCCAGAGGGCCATGTGATCTAACTGCCATCACTTGGCAGATGATGAAGTTAACTTATAAAATATTTTCTATGAAACTAATAAGACAATTTCGACCAATCTTGGTATGAATGATCCTCAGTGTATCTAATATTTTTTTTTTTTTTTATCAGTCAACACATTTCTGCCATGGCTAAAAATATAGCACGAGGGTAAAACACATTAATTGCCTTATATCTTGAAAACTAAAATAGATAGAGAAATTCCAAAATGGGCAAAAATGCTCAGGATGTCAAGATTCATATTATCAGATGACTCATAACGGAGTAATTGCTATTAAATGATGGATTTGTCAAATGTTCATGTTTTTGTCTTATAAAATAGATAGGTAAAGGCGTTGTTCAAGCCAAAAATGATCAGAAACACTAGATCCACAAAAGTGCTAATATGACCAAAACCACTGGATGACTTCTGGAGGAAATTTTTGATGAATTTTTATGTTTTTGTTAACTATCTGAATATCTATAAAAGATAGATTAAAACTGTAAAAAGCAAAAAAGATCAGCAATACAGGATAAACTAAAAAGCGGGAATAAGCAAAACCATTGGTAAAAACTAATATCAAAATCTTTACCAGGTGAGCGATTCAGGCTCTGAGGAGCCAGTAATCAGGTTTCTTTAATCAGCTGTTGGTAAATTGACCAGGTGTAGGTAAGAATGGGCTAGTTGTTTGCCTCCTTGTCAGTTGTCTAATTGACAATCATTCCACATCTTGGGTGTATATATTTAGGTATATGTATTTTCATACTAATATTATTGAGTTGGATATTTGTTTGTGAAAAAGACAGGTAGATTGATGACCCCACCATGTTAAAGTTAGGGGAAGGGTTTAGTACTAACAAATTTGTTTAACTCCGCCACATTATGTGTGTGCCTGTCCCGAGTCTGGAGCCTGCAATTCAGTGGTTGTTGTTGTTTCATGTCTTTCTGTAAATTATATTGTTTTAAATTAGGCTGTTAGTTTTCTCATTATACCCCCGCTTTAAAAAAGTGGGGTATACTGTTTTACCTCTGTCTGTCCGTCAGTCCGTCCCATGAATATTTTTCGTCGCATCTTTCTCAGGAACTACATCATAAGGGTTTCTGAAATTTGGTTTCAGGGTTTATATGAGGTCAGCTATACCGTGTGATGCGTTTTCAGATTCATCACTCAACAACTTCCTGTTTACCGAACACTCACATCATTTTACACATGACATCCAAGTTGAAAATTTTCGTCACATTTTTTCTCAGGAACTGCATTACAAGGATTTCTGAAATTTGGTTTCAGGGTTAATATAAGTCAGCTAAACCGTGTGGTGCGTTTTCAGATTCATCACTCAACAACTTCCTGTTTACCGAACACTTACATATTTTTACACTATTAAAATTATCCACTTGCAGCGGGGGTATCATCAGTGAGCAGTAGCTCGCAGTTTCACTTGTTTGAACTGTTTCACATTTTTCATGTAGGGGCCTATTATAACTGACTATTAGGTATGGGTTTTCTCATTGTTGAAGGCTTTGCTTATATCCATGTCATTTGAAATTTGGTGGATAGTTGTCTCATTGGGAATCATACCACATCTCCTTATTTTCATACTGTCTATATCTGGACATTGTTTGTTCCATCAATTTTATTGTGCCCTTGACTTTACATGTAACTATTTTAAAATCTGTTGTACCTGATTGATTCTGGTAAAGTATAAATTATATTAGAATAGATTGATTGATTGATTGATTCTTTTTAATGCCCCTGACACATTAAGTTTTACCCTTGTCCATCCGTCTGTACATCCCGAAATTGGTTTCTGTTCTCTAACTTTAGTTTGCCTCAACCAAATGTTATGAAACTTATACACAATGCTTATTACCACAAAACACAGATCAAAGTTTGAATTTTGGTGGCGTCACTTTTACCATTCTAGAGTTATGCCCCTTTACAAATTGAAAAATTGCTGAATTTTTCGTTTCCGTTCTCTAACTTAAGTTTGCATCAAGCAAATGTTATGAAACTTATACACAATGCTCAGATCAAGTACGAATTTGGGTAGCGTCACTTTTACTGAGTTATGTCCCTTTATAACTTGTATGCAAGCGGGGGCATCATCTGTGTCCCATGGACACATTCCCCATTTATTGTTTTATTGTGATTGACAAATATTTTATGACAAAAAATACTATATATAATTAGAAATACCTAACCACACCAAATCCAGACTTGCTTAAAAATGCCTTGCAATGTTAATAGCACTTTGTATGAACTCAAAAAAATTATTTTGCAGTTTTTATCTTTCCCAAACCAGTTTTTACAAGATTTGGACAAGTAACCTATGACTTCTATTGCAGACTTAAATACTTGAGATATCGTAGATAAAATACAATATTTTACTTCTTTTTCTATATACAGAATATTGATATAGGGTTAGATGATGCCAAATAAGTGCTCCTCTAAAAATCAACATGTTTCCTATAACAAAGAATTTGTTTCATTTGAGAAAGGTTGTATAGCCTTTATTTATATTGACATCATATGTTGTACATCACCATCTATATTTGTAAGTTAATAGTCATAGATACTTTATATTATCATCACAGGTCACAAATAGCATCATCACCAATGTCTATGATGACACCATCACCGGTAGCTCCTTCTCCAGCTGCCAGAGGTCAAGGAATGTATGGAGTACCCTCTCCCAGTAGTAACATGAACACACCAGGTTGGTAGATAATGCTCCCTCGCAGTCATTTGGAATCGCTGGGCAAAAATATTTCATTTTATAATTATGAACCGTTATTCAGGTGAAGAGACACTAACAGCTATACAGATTTAAAAAATTTGTTTTTCTTATAAACCTAAAAATTACAACAGCAGTAAACATATAATGAAGAACAAGTAAGATTATCACTACACAAGTTCTTGGGTTACCATTATGAATGGGTTGAGCATTACAATCTTAGTTTCTCCACTTACAAGTCTAACTAAAACACTGTCATACACAGTAATTACAATATTCGTTAGGTTCCCTGCATTGACACTTACTATTTTAGCTTTGTCATAGACACTATGACAGATTCATTGGGTTCCCTGCTTTGACACCATTTTAACTTTTTCATAGACACTATTACCAGATTCATCAGGTTCCCTGCTTTGACACTTAATAATTTAACACTGTCATAGTCTGTTCTATGGTCGGGTTGTTGTCTCTTTGACACATTCCCCATTTCCATTCTCAATTTTATTACCAGATTAGTCAGGTTCCTTGTTTTAATACTTACTATTTTAGTACTGTCATAGACACTATTACCAGATTCGTCAGGTTCCCTGCTGTGACACTTACTATTTTAACTTTGTCATAGACATTATTACCAGATTCATCGGGTTCCCTTCTTTGACACTTACTATTTTAACACTGTCATAGACTATTACCAGATTAGTCAGGTTTCTTGTTTTTATACTTACTATTTTAGTACTGTCATATACACTATTACAGGCGTTCTCCATCAGATAACCTCCGTTTATACAGGGCAACACCACAAATTGCACTTCTTTCATCTGAAAATCTGCCCAACAATGTTAGATTTGCAAATTTGTGGTAACAAACTTATTCTTCTCTCAGGATTAAACCCATACTTTTGTGATATCCTGCCAACACAGCCTGCACTGAGTTCAAGGCTCTAGTACAGGTGGTGTTGCCAAGATGTGACAGAAGCATGAGTTCAAATCCTGACAAACAAAAATAGCTGATTAGCAAAAGTATTCAGTCTACATGCCACAATACATCATGCCCTGTGTTACAACCCTAGTTAAAGCTGACAAGAAATGGTATTACTTGACTAATAAAAGCTATATTTGTATACAGCTTAGTAGAGTGTTCTAGGTCACTAGACACAGTGGAGGGCTGCAGGCTGAGTTGCCATGATGTCACAGAAGCATGTGTTCAAATCCATCTGAGAGAAGAACAAACATTTTAATATGTTAACTTATTTCAGGAATAAAAACAAAATTGGAAGAACCTTTTCCATATTTTTTTCTTGTTTTTTTCTCTCTCACACAAAATAGTGTAAAATTTTGTTATTTTATATTAATATTAAGTTCAATTATCTTCCCTTAATGAAACATATTTTTTGCAGGTTATCTCTTATTGTGAAATTTTTATGAATAAGTCAAGAATTGTAGTATTGAGAATAAGACAAAATGGTAAAATGTGTTGATTTGTAAGAAAATTGTAATAAATAATAAGCTTTCATATTCACATAATGTTTTTTATTTTATTTTTGGAAACAAGCAACGAATCTAAGATTGCCTACACCCTATAATGTTCAGTTTAACATTATATTTATTCAATGAGTGTAATGCCCATCCTTTAGTCATTCATTTGATTTGTAAACACAGCTGTTTGTTAAAAAAAAACTCATAAAATTTAATATTCTTTGTGAGAAAATGGTAATAATAGTACAGCTATCTGTATTCAATATATATATCTATTGTATATTTTAGCCATGAGTCATGCAAGTCCTGCTCCACGATCTGTAGAAGAACAAGCCTACTTAGACAAACTACAGAAACTTTCACGTTATGTAGAACCATTACGAAGAATGATCAAAAGACTGTCTACTGATAAGGATGAAGGTAAAGTACAGACTAAAGTTTTCCTTTTCAGTTATATATTGTAGACCATGCTGTTTGCAGGAATGAAGAATGTTGAAATATACTGTTATATATGTTTTGGTTTTTAGTGCTGTTTGATTGATGTATTACTCATGTCTAATGATATTCACTGGTCTAAAAATTTACAAAAATTAGGCCAGGAAATGATAGATGTTTATAAGAAATATATAGAAGTTTCATTGTAAAATTACAAAAGCATTTGAGTTTTTGAATTTATAATACTATTGTGTTGTTGGATACCAATGAAGGTCAGATTTGCATGTAATAAATTAATAACTCCTGCAAAAGTTCTTTCAAGAGAATGTTCCCTGGGTTTTGGTGAATATTAAATTTGGTTCTGACATGATTTATAACAGACATTTCTAAAATTCATTGTGGAGAAATTAAGAAATTATTCAAAACTAAGGTCCTAACTCCCAGAGTCAAAGTTGACCTTAGATAAATTTGGCTATTCTTTTTTGGTCCCTTTTTAGCTCACCTGACCTGAAAGGTCAAGTGAGCTTATCTCATCACTTTGCGTCCGTCGTCCTGCGTCCGTCGTCCGTCGTCCGTAAACTTTTACAAAAATCTTCTCCTCTGAAACTACTGGGCCAAATTTGACCAAACTTGGCCACAATCATCATTGGGGTATCTAGTTTAAAAAATGTGTCCGATGACCCCGCCAACCAACCAAGATGGCCGCCATGGCTAAAAATAGAACATAGGGGTAAAATGTAGATTTTGGCTTATATCTCTGAAACCAAAGCATTTAGAGCAAATCTGACATGGGGTAAAATTGTTTATCAGGTCAAGATCTATCTGCCCTGAAATTTTCAGATGAATCGGACAACCCGTTGTTGGGTTGCTGCCCCTGAATTGGTAATTTTAAGGAAATTTTGCAGTTTTTGGTTATTATCTTGAATGTTATTATAGATAGAGATAAACTGTAAACAGCAATAATGTTCAGCAAAGTATGATCTACAAATAAGTCAACTTGACCAAAATGGTCAGTTGACCCCTTAAGGAGTTATTGCCCTTTATAGTCAATTTTTAACCATTTTTCGTAAATTTTTGTAATCTTTTACAAAAATCTTCTCCTCTGAAACTACTAAGACAAATTTAACCAAAATTGTCCACAATCATCATTAGGGTATCTAGTTTAAAAAATGTGTCCGATGACCCTGCTCGCAAACCAAGATGGCCGACATGGCAAAAAATAATACATAGGGTAAAATGCAGTTTTTGGCTCATATCTCTGAAACCAAAGCATTTAGAGCAAATCTGATGGTATAAAATTGTTCATTAGGTCAAGATCTATCTGCCCTGAAATTTTCAGACCAATCAGGCAACATGTTGTTGGGTTGCTGCCCCTGAATTGGTAATTTTAAGAAAATTTTGCAGCTTTTGGTTATTATCTTGAATATTATTATAGATAGAGATAAACTGTAAACAGCAATAATGTACAGCAAAGTTTAATCTACAAATAAGTCAACATGACCAAAATTGTCAATTGACCCCTTAAGGAGTTATTGCCCTTTATAGTCAATTTTTTACAATTTTCATAAATTTTGTAAATTTTTGTAAATTTTTACAAAATATTTTCCACTGTAACTACTGGGCCAAGTTCATTATAGATAGAGATAATAGTAAGGAGCAAGAATGTTCAGTAAAGTAAGATCTACAAACACATCACCATCACCAAAACACAATTTTGTCATGAATCCATCTGTGTCCATTGTTTAATATGCACATAGACCAAGGTGAGCGACACAGGCTCTTTAGAGCCTCTAGTTGTCATATAGAATCTAATGTTCCTATCTTTTTTTAACATCCCTGGCTTCTGATAATGGTAAATCCAGAGAAGAGCTTTGGACACACTTAATTAATGAAGTGTTATTTCATTTACTATTCGATACCTCTGCTAGTGGACTGTTATTCCCTGAGTGTATCATCAAATCAGAAGTCAGTGCTTTGGTACTGACTTCATTTAAAACATACATTTCTAAAATTCTCTGCTGAATAATAGTTAAGTTAGTACTAGTGACCATCATGGTCTTTATGTAGTGTTGGAGTTCTTTACTTATGTTGAAGACTTTCAGTAAATATCAATGTGAAAAATAGCAGTAAAAGAACTTTTCCAGTATATTTTTGGAATATTATCTCATTTTCAGCTTCTTAATGTCAGTTTCCTCAATTTTTATGCCCCTGCCGTAGCGGAGGGGGCATTAAGTTTTACCCTTGTCCGTCTGTACGTCCGTCCGTCCCAAAGTTGGTTTTCGTTTTTCCAACTTTAGTTTGCCTCAACCAAATGTTATGAAACTTATACACAATTATTACCACAAAACACAGATCAAGTTTGAATTTTGGTGGCGTCACTTTAACCGTTATAGAGTTATGCTCCTTTACAAATGGAAAAATTGCTGAATTTTTTGTTTCCGTTTTCTAACTTCAGTTTGCCTCAACCAAATGCTATGAAACTTATACACAATGCTTATTACCACAAAATACAGATCAAGTTTGAATTATGGTGGTGTCACTTTAACCGTTCTAGAGTTATTTAAAAGAAAATTTAATCTACTGTAAACAGAAACCTAGAGAGTTGGTGACTATATAACTTTAATATACTATTATCATTTATTGCGAACCCAATGAAAGTTTTCCACAGTGCCATCTCTATCTTGACCAGGTATTTAAACTTTTGTAAGTTCACCTGTCCTATTGAATAAATACAATAGCTATTTTTCTCTGTGTAGTTTATTCACTGGGACCTTTAAATTTCTTCTAAGTTACACCCCAGTTCTATTGTTATACTTCATAGTTTCTATTTCTGAAAAAAGTGTAAATTGAATAGATCTATTGTTACGAATAACAATGGATTTTGACCACAGGGTGTGACGAGCGGGGTTTCTGGAAACCCCTGCTTCTACATCCCCAAACAAAGTCCATTGTTATTCATAACAATAGAAATTGATTATTTTTTAAATAGCATGAACATAAGAAATTACTAATGTCACTAATAGTGTTCATTACAAATTGTTTCGTGATATGAAAAAAAACCCACATTTTAGGAAATTTAAAAAATACCTGGTCAAGATAGAGATGGCACTGTTGAAAACTTTCATTGGGTTCGCAATAATGAGATTTTTTTTTTTCCAGATCATAAGAAAGACATAAGTAAAATGAAAAATTTACTCGAAATTCTAACAGATCCTTCAAAAAGGTAAATTAGCAACAAATTTTGTAAATAATTGTTAATGATAGATAGTGACTTTCATTGTACTGCAGGATGTATACATGTATTTATATGCATTTGGGCTGTCTGTGTAACTTCATGGTATCTTTGTGTAAACATCATTGCCATTCATCAGTAATTTGCACAGATATCTTTTTCCACGTAATGTAAACACAACACATTATACCCTTATATGATCATGTGAAAAATAATGTCATGCCTGTAGGATAAAACTCAATGTATTCATTTGTAAGATATACGTCTTTTACAGCTTCCACAACTTTGAGGTGAAATATTTAATTTATGGTCTGTTTACTTAAAGAAAGTAATCACCATTATTTAAATTCTAATCCCTTTAGATAGATGAACAAAGCTTAATCCTTTATTTTAGATTACCAATGGCAACCTTATTGAAATGTGAACAAGTCCTGGAAAAATTAGAACTACATCACAGTAGTACCAGAACTGTAAGTACACAACAGGGGGATATGCTGTATGGTTTAAAATTCAAAACTTTTTTTTTACCAGCTATAAATAATATGATGAAAAGTTGTTTTATGTCCAATTTAAAAAGTTTTTATGCCCCCGCCATAGCAATATTCATTACCACAAAACTAATATCAAGTACAAATTTTTTGTTTCCGTTTTCTAACTTTAGTTTGCCTCCACCAAATGTTATGAAACTTATACACAATGCTTATTACTACATAATACAGATTAAGTACAAAAATTGGTGGCGACACTTTTACCATTCTTGAGTTATGTCCCTTTATAAACATAAAAATTGCTGATTTTTTTAGTTTGTCTCAACCGAATGTTATAAAACTTACACACAACCGTTCCAATTTTATGCGTGTTTACAAATAGAAAAATTGCTGAATTTTTATACGACCTCAAAAAATTTTGCGGTCGTATATTGGTATGACGTTGGCGTCGTCCAGCGTCGTCCGAAGACACATTGGTTTTCGCACTCTCATTTTAGTTTAAATGAATGGATCTCTATGAAATTTTACCATAAGGTTCAATACCACAAAAGGAAGGTTTGGATTGATTTTGGGGGTTATGGTACCAACAGTTAAGGAATTAGGGGCCAAAAAGGGGCCAAAAATAAGCATTTTTGTAACTTCCAGACATAACTTGTATGGATCTCTCTGACATTGTACCACAAGGTTCCTTATCACACAGGGAATGCTAGGATTGATTTTGGGGGTAATTGCCTCAAAATATTAGGAATTAGGGGCCAAAAAAGGGGCAAAAAACAAGCATTTTTCTAGTTTCATGACAATAACTTGTGTTAGTGTATGGATCTTTCTGAAATTGTACTACAATGTTCCATATCACAAAGGGAAAGCTGGAATTGAGTTTGGGGGTAATTGACCAAAACGTTTAGGAATGAGGGGCCAAAAAGGGGCCAAAAATAAGCATTTTTCTAGTTTCCAGACAATTACTTGTGTTCGAGTGTATGGATCTCTCTGAAAGTGTACCACAAGGTTCCATATCACACAGGGAATGCTGGGATTGATTTAAGGGGTAATTGCCTCAAAATATTAGAAATTAGGGGCCAAAAAAGGGGCAAAAAACAAGCATTTTTCTAGTTTCATGATAATAACTTGTGTGTAAGTGTATTGATCTTTCTGAAATTGTACTACAAGGTTCCATATCACAAAGGGAAAGCTGGAATTGAGTTTGGGGGTAATTGCCCAAAACGTTTAGGAATAAGGGGCCAAAAAGGGGCCAAAAATAAGCATTTTGTCTAGTTTCCAGACAATAACATGTGTTCAAGTGTATGGATCTCTCTGAAATTGTACCACAAGGTTCCATATCACACAGGGAATGCTGGGATTGATTTTGGGGGTAATTGCCTCAAAATATTAGGAATTAGGGGCCAAAAAAGGGGCAAAAAACAAGCATTTTTCTAGTTTCATGATAATAACTTGTGTGTAAGTGTATGGATTTTTCTGAAATTGTACTACAAGGTTCCATATCACAAAGGGAAAGCTGGAATTGAGTTTGAGGGTAATTGCCCAAAACGTTAAGGAATAAGGGGCCAAAAAGGGGCCAAAAATAAGCATTTTTCTAGTTTCCAGACAATAACTTGTGTTCAAGTGTATGGATCTCTTTGAAATTGTACCGCAAGGTACCATACCACAAATGGAAGGTTAGATTGAGTTTGGGGGTGATGAATCATAAGGGGGTTCAAAAAATTTGGGTGGGGTGGATTTTTTTATTTTTCCTTTTTTTTTTCTTTTAAAATTTTCCATTTTAAGTTGGTTATTTCTGTTTTATATTTAAAAGCAAATAATAATGATATGGTAGGAGATACACACCAAACAGGATGTGTAAATTATTATATAATAAGTATTGTGCAATAGCAAGAAATTTTCAATTGCACAGTATTGCACAATAGCAAGAAATCTTCAATTGCACAGTATTGCGCAATAGCAAGAAATCTTCAATTGCACAGTATTGTGCAATAGCAAGAAATATCCAATAGCACAATATTGCGCAATAGCAAGAAATTGTCAATTGTACAGTATTGCGCAATAGCAAGAAATATTCAATTGCACAGTATTGTGCAAAAGAAGATACTTCGTAATAGACGTATAAATTGCTTATTTCTTGACCAATTTCAATGGGGTTTTATTCTTGAATTCTTGGGGTTCTTTAATATGCTGATTCTAACCGTGTATTAAGTTTTTGGATTTTGGGCCCCGTTTTTAAATTGGTCCACATTGAGGTCCAAAGGGTCCAAATTAAACTTTGTTTGATTTCATCAAAAACTGAATTATTGGGGTTCATTGATATGCCGAATCTAACCGTGTATTTAGATTCTTAATTTTTGGTTCCGTTTTCAAATTGCTCTACATTAAGGTCCAAAGGGTCCAAAATTAAACTTAGTTTGATTTTAACAAAAATTGAATTCTTAGGGTTCTTTGATATGCTGAATCTAAACATGTATTTAGATTTTTGATTATGGGTCCAGTTTTCAAGTTGGTCCAAATCGGGGTCCAAAATTAAACTTTGTTTGATTTCAACAAATATTGAATATATGGGGTTCTTTGATATGCTGAATCTTACCATGTATTTAGATTTTTGATTTTTGGGCCCTGTTATCAACTTTGTCCACATTGAGGTCAAAAGGGTCCAAAATTAAACTTTGTTTGATTTCATCAAAAATTGAATTCTTGGGGATCTTTGATATGCTGAATCTAACCATGTATTTAGATTTTGGATATTGGACCATAATAGGTGAATGTCCAATTTAAAATTTTTAAGTTCTTAGACCACATTCATTCTGTGTCAGAAAGATATGCTGTGTCAAATATTTAATCACAATCCAAATGCAAAGCTGTATCAAGCTTGAATGTTGTGTCCATACTTGCCCCAACTGTTTAGGGTTCGACCTCTGCGGTCGTATCAAGCTGAGCCCTGCGGAGCATTTTATTAGTTTCTGTTCTCTACTTAAGTTAGCCTCAACCAAATGTTATGAGACTTACACACAATGCCTATTACCACAAAACTCAGATCAAGTTCAAATTTGGGTAGCATCACTTTTATTGTTCTTCAGTTATGTCCCTTTATAACTATATGATATGCAAGCTGGGGCATCATCTGTGTCCACATGTGGACAGTACTGGACACTATCCACATTTATTTAGTATCATGCACATCATTATAATGTTATTGTAGATCAAAACAATTACTAAAATGTTTTGTAAGTAGTGATTCACAGTATATTGAAGTTATGGACCTTTTGGAATCAGTCATCCTACATAGTTTATTGTGTTGGGATGATTTCTATACAAGACCAGAGAAACAAATCAATTAATTTGAAGGATTTATTTTTCTTTGCAGACACCTAGTAGTACAACAACAGTTACAACAGTTAGTTCACACATATGTGCTCCGTTGCTGGAGGCTGTAACAGCACACATCATGTCTCCAATGTTTAACCACTCCCTACACAGAACATTTGGTCCAGCCATGACAGCTCTATATGGTGCTCCAATAAGGTAGGAGATTGATATATTAATACTATGTAAAAATTAAAAGACTTCAAGATGTTAACATACAGTCTTCTGCAATAGAAAAACAAGTTTAGACAATTTTTTAAATGAGACTTCAAAGATCTGCTATCCCCACCAATTTGTTGAAAGCATAAAAAGGTAAAATACCAAGAAAAACGCACTACTGAAGAGGTTCCAAACTTGGAACTGATTTTTAGTTTTTACTAGTTTTCAGAACTCAAAACTACCCAAATTGTTTTACCAGTACTTTAAGAAAATACTTGTTAAGACAGATGACCAATACATGGTGCCATTCAAATAAGAAAAAACTTCACATTATAGCAGTTCTTAAAGCCTAGAGAAGTATTTCATCTAACATTTTTACAAACATATGCTAGAAATTTTCTCATTTACATTTTCTTTACTAAAAATGGTTCATATTGACAAACAGTTTCTTGACAAGAATGTATGAAATTATCAAACCACATAATGAAAATCTTTTGAGTAGAAATCTTAATTTGATTCCTTAATGTTTTTTTTTTCTATTTATAGAGCACCAAGTCCTCCACCTAGAAAGCGGAGGAAGATAGAGGAATCTGATGAGGAGGATGACATTCCACATATCTTGCAGGGAGAGATAGCACGACTTGGGGCACGCTTTAAAGTCAACTTAAATCCTTTATATAACAGTAAATCTAAGACAGTACACTTAATATGTAAATTAGGTAAGTGACAAAAGTAGAAACACTTCAAAGGTCCCAATATTCTATGTATTAAATACAAATAAATTACAGGATTAAGCTGGGGTCACACATTCACGATTTTTACTGCCGCCCTTGACAGGACCATTCCTGATTAAAGTTTATCGAAAGTCTGATCAAGATCCTGTGAATCGTGGCTGGAAATTCAAACTTGAATTAAAATTTGTTAAAACATTTATTGAATCCCGACAACTATCTGATATTGTTCAGGAAGCGTCCAAGATCAGCCGTTTCCAACCGAATTTGACCCGATTATCACGTTCTCAATCTGATTCTAATCCGATTGATATCTTTCGCAGGGTACAAAATGACCGAATCTGTCCCGACAGTGTCCTTATTCTACCAATTGTTGTCCAACAGAGATCAGACAGTGAACCGACGCTGACGGAAGATATCCGTTACAAAACTGTCGTCATATTCGGGATGATCAGGTACTGTCAGAACATCACAGTCTGCTGTACCGCATTGCACACGGCTTTGTCTGGACTCAGTCGTATTGTGTCCTGTAATTGTCGGGACTCGTGACGTGGGTATCATTGCCAAATTTCGTATTAATAACGGGTCTATTCCAGAACAGTTTCGGCAAAAACTGTTCACATTCGGCAAGATCTGGATGCAATCTGGACTCAATCGACAAAAAAACAGCAATGACAAATTTGTCCAGATCATAAAATTGAGAATGGAAATGGGGAATGTGTCAAAGAGACAACAACCCGACCATAGAGCAGACAACAGCCGAAGGCCACCAATGGGTCTTCAATGCAGCGAGAAACTCCCGCACCCGGAGGCGTCCTTTAGCTGTCCCCTAAACAAATATGTATACTAGTTCAGTGATAATGGAGGTCATACTAAACTCCAAATTATACACAAGAAACTAAAATTAAAAATGATACAAGACTAACAAAGGCCAGAGGCTCCTGACTTGGGACAGGCGCAAAAATGCGGCGGGGTTAAACATGTTTTTTGAGATCTCAACCCTCCCCCTATACCTCTAGCCAATGTAGAAAAAACAAACGTACAACAGTACGCACAGTAAAACTCAGTTTAAGAGAAGTCCAATTCCAATGTCAGAATAGGAAACAAAAGAAAATAAACAAAATGACAATAATACATAAATAACAACAGACTACTAGCAGTTACTGACATGCCAGCTCCAGACCTCAATTAAACTGATTGAAAGATTATGTCTTCATCATATGAATATCAGGCACAATCCCTCCTATTAGGGGTTTAGTATTATACCGTCATAAAATATATGAGAAGAACACAACCCGTGTCATGCCAACAACTGGTTTTAGAATAAATATCTTTAATTCCGATGCAAAGACCCTATAAGTGAATCAATATTAAAGCCAAAATATGCAATCTTTAATGACCTGACAACAGTATCGTAACTATATCCCTTCTTAATAAGTCTGCTTAAAGGTTTTGTTAGCTTTTGAGGTGAATACTGGCATTTTTGTGCTTTGTAAAGAATATTACCATAAAAGATTGGATGTGAAATACCCGAACGTATAAGATGTCTGCATGTTGAGTTATATTTACGAATGATGTCCTTTTACTGATGATAAAATTTAGTAAATGTTTTGACTAGTTTATGATATCGAAAACCCTGGTGTAATAATTTTTCAGTAATATATAAATTTCTCTCGCTAAAATCTAATACATTGTTACATACACGAGCGAATCGTACAAGTTGAGATATATAAACACCATAAGAAGGTGACAAGGGAACGTCACCATCTAAAAATGGATAATTAACGATAGGAAATGAAAAATCATCTCTTTTATCATAAATTTTTGTATTAAGCTTCCCGTTAATGATATAGATATCAAGATCGAGGAAAGGACAGTGGTCATTGTTAGTATTAGCTTTATTTAAAGTAAGTTCAACAGGATAAATTTCTTTAGTATACATACTGAAGTTGTCATTATTGAGAGCCAATATATCATCCAAATATCTAAAAGTATAGTTAAATTTTTGTATCAGATGTTGTTTCAATGGGTCTTTGCAGATTTTAGTCATAAATTGTAACTCATAACAATACAAAAACAGGTCCTCAATAAGTGGTGCACAGTTAGTCCCCATTGGAATTCCGATAACTTGACGACATACGGAATCTCCAAAGCGAACAAAAATGTTATCAAGTAAAAATTCAAGGGCAGATATAGTATCAAAGCATGTCCAATTGACATAGCTCTTTTGTTTGACCTAAAAGAGTTTGAACATATGTATTTGCATTCCGACTTTTTAAATGCCCATTTAATTAGGTGTGTGAATTTTTTCTTAATAAGAATATGAGGCAAAGTGGTATATAGGGTAGAAAAATCAAAACTTTGAACAGATTCAAAATCACCAATATATGCATGCAATTTATCAAGTACTTCCAACGAGTTTTTGACACTCCAAAAGTACAAATGTACCGTAGTTAATTCCACTATTTTCAAAGGCCTTATTTGAACAATTTATTATCAGGTTTTTGATTGTACCAAGTGTACTAGCACGTTCCACAGGACAACTTCCAGATAACACAGAACATTGTTATGATTATAATCAGATACATCAGAATCTGTCACGACATGGTCAGGATTGTAATCTGACTAGACAAAATTGGCTGAGTTTCCCTGAATGTTGCTGGACACACCTAACTGTCCGGGGGGGGGGGGGGGGCTTGGCCAACCTCTCCGGACCATTCCGGATCAGTAGGAATCTTTTACGAACGTATACAACTTCGTTAAGACAATGTTAGGACATTCCAGATCAATGAGGATAGTTATCCGACTTTTTAACTTTTCATGTCTTAATGCTGTCTGATCTCAAACGGGAGCCATAATTGGCACTGTGTGAACGCCGCATTACACTGGTAAACTGAACAATTAAGTAAATCCTGATGGAGGTTCAATGTTCAGTCTTACAATATCCTCTGAATAACTGAAAACTAAGAAGGCACATTATGTATGAAAATTACGGTACTGGTGTTTATTGTGTATTTTTCTCTATACCCTTGTTATTTCACTGATTAAGACATTAAGAGAAGAGGAGAATACTCACATTTTCAAAGTCAGGAATGATGTCAGTGCTATTCCTTATAAATGTTTTCGTCAATGGAGGAGTTGGGTGTTTATCACAGTCTCAAAGGAATTTGTTCTTAATTTATGAAGACTATTGGGGGTTTAAAGCTTGACATATGGTTTGGACATGTGTCAGCCATTTGTTACAATTTGTTGACATCTATAGTGTGTGATAAGATTTTGTGAGGGAATTCGATGTTTGCTATACCATGGTTCACTTAAACGCACTTCATGACAATAACGCTGAATAAATGTTTTCCAGTATTTTCAAAAATGATTTTGCTATGTATCCGTGTATTATATGATAATAAATTAATGCTTTAAGAAGGTTAATTTTCTGTATAAAGTCAATAATTTTGACGACTTTTGAAGCCCAAACTTTCTATTGCTTTAAATACACTAATGAGAGATCGAAAAACAATGGCAATACAGACATATAGGTGTTTGAACTTCTAAAAAAAAGTTTGGATGATGAGTGTTTTGTAGTATTAACAAGAAATTGTCTTAAAAAATCTCTCATTTTCTCCCTACCCAATTTACCCCTAACACTCAATTTGATATGGACTGGTCATTGTTATTAAATCTTACGCAATTCGATTGGATGAAGTTATTATTGCTTCACCTTTAACTGTTTACCTGTTCAAATTTTCCTGTGTGTATTCTTTAAGCACACAAAATTTTATTACGTAATAATAATTATTGTTTATGAAGACAAAATTAAGGATGGCAACTCTAGCTCCGAAGTTAAAAAATCTTAAAGAAATTATAAAATTGCTCTTGTTTGTGGATAAACAATTATAATTATGGTTTGTCTTTAGTTTTCTGTCCTCATATTGTACTAAAAGGTCAACATGGTCAAGTTGAATTTGAATTATTATTTTATTTTAATAAACACGACAAAACTAGATTAAGCTAGATTTAACTAGAGTAAAAATTAAAGAATATAGAAATGAAGATCCCAATCCATGCCTTAAATGTATAATTATATTTTGTATATCTGAAAACTGGTTAATTTGCATTTCTTTTTACATACACGTGTGGTTTAATTGATCACCAAACTGTACACTGGAAGAATTCATGATATTTTTATGAATGAAACAAAAGGTAGAAAGGGTTCGGTTTTGCTATTCTTACTTTTTCATGATTTTTTTGTACTACAGTGAAGTTTTACAATATTGAGAAAGCGTGTTGACCAGAAATTTAGAAACTTGACAGATCATGTGTTTTCATTTTTTTTATCATTTTGATGAATATAGCATTGAAATATATTTTACGCACGTCTACAGAAGGTAAAACGCTTGTGTGTCTTAACAGAAAATAGCATTTTTCAGTCTCGTCAAGCTGTTATCAGTCCAATTTAATCCAAATGAAAGCAGTAAGTTAATTAGGTCAAAATATGACCAATCTGCAGATTTTTGTACATACATTTTAAGACTGGATTTGTCTACCCCATAAAATTATGTTACTCACTATAGATGTTTTTTTTTACAAGTTGGGATTGATAAAAGAAAGCTCCCTTTCCATTTTGATTTTTTTTCTTATTTGTCGTTCCAGAGTTACAGGACTTTAACAATCAGATTTAAGGCATTTTTTCACATTTTTGCTATCTACTGATTAAAAACCTTCTAAATATTCCACTTTATTATTGCAGCAATTTTATTATATAACAGAAGGGAATATATGCCCATAGTGCAGCTGTTTATTTCCAATCAGGAAGCAAATAAACATATGTTTATTAATTTTAGCTCATTTATATGTTTTGGAGTTTAGTGTTATGTCCATTTTCATTGAACTAGTACACATTTTTGTTTAGGGGCCAGCTGAAGCCCACCTCCGTGTGCAGGATTTTCTCATTGTGCTGAAGACAAATTGGGGGCCTTAGGCTGTTTTCTGCTCTTTGGTAGGGTTGTTGTCTCTTTGACACATTCCCCATTTCCATTCTCAATTTTATATATTAAAAATTAATTGTGCATGTTTTTAGGTTGTTTTCTTTAAATTATTTGTAGGAAAACTTTCATAATCAATATCTAATTTTCTTCTTGAAGAATTTCTTTTTGGTAACCTTTTGAAACTACTTGAAGCCACTGCAGTCTAAAATACCAATTCTATCTTTAGCTTATTAAGATTATTATTATTCAATTATTCTGTTGTTTCCTGAAGACCAAACTTCAGAAAAATTGAATTATGATCTACATTAGCAGAATTTGACAGCAGAATCAATATTAGTCAGATTTTAATGGCTTTAGGGAATTTTTAATAGGAAACAGAAGCTAAATCTCACTCGAAAAAGTCAGAACATGTATTTAGGAAAGATTCATGTAGATGGTTTCAAACAAAAGAATCAAGAAAAATGTCAAATTTAATCCCTTTTCTTGAGAGGCCCTAATACACTAGATTTTGTTTTTCAAACTTAAATCAAAGTGCTTTTTGTTAAAACACAGTTTTTGTTTCTCTCATTTAGGAAACACTGCAGGTAAAAAACAAATTATTAAGTCATAAAGTTCCCATATTGTTCTAGAACTTTGCTGTAAACCTAGGGATTTAGTTTGCCCTATCGCACATTTTCCATCTGTTTAAAGGATAATTTTAGGCTATTAACTGAATATGGTTTTTGTCTCGCCTTAAAGGAGCCAAAAAGCAAGACATAGGTATGCTGTTTCCGACGGCGTTGGAGGCAGTGTCAACAATGTATTAGTTTGTGATTAGGTCAGTTCATGTAGAACCACTAGTGGTAGGTTAATGATATTTGGTATGCAGTTGTATTAGCATTTGCACATATCACTTCCATGGAGATAATTTGGCCCCACCCCACTCAGTCATGGTCTATTAACTTTGAAACTTTTTCTTACTTAACATGTTAAAATTTGTGATTAGATCAATTTAAGAGGAACGGCCATGTTAAGTCAATGATAGTATAAGCATTTGTAAGTCTTCTTCTCCATGGAGATTATTTGGCCCCACCCCTATCAGGGTTCATTGACTTTGAAATTTTTACATTGTTTACAAGTTAAAGTTTGTGTTTAGGTTAGTGTTAAGGTAACCACTTCTGATAAGTCAATGGTATTTGTATGCAGTTTTATAAGCATTGACATTTCTAATTTCCATGGAGGCTATTTTGTCCTGCACCTTAAGTAAAGGTTCATGTGTCAACACTTTATTTTTGTCGAGCCTTCGACTTAAGTCGAAAAAGCGAGACATAGCAATCCTACATTCCGTCGGTGTCAGCGGCGGCGTCCACAAATATTCACTCTGTGGTTAAAGTTTTTGAAATTTTAATAACTTTCTTAAACTATCCTGGATTTCTACCAAACTTGGACAGAAGCTTGTTTATGATCATAAGATAGTATCCAGAAGTAAATTTGTTAAAAACAAAATTTCATTTATTCAGTATTTTACTTATAAATGAACTTAGTTTTTCTGCCAGGAAACAATACATTCACTCTGTGGTTAAAGTTTTTAAAATTTTAATAACTTTCTTAAACTATCCTGGATTTGTACCAAATTTGGACAGAAGCTTGTTTATGATCAAAAGCTAGTATCTAGAAGGAAATTTTGTTAACATTTGTACCTGTTTATCTGTATATTACTTATAAATGGACTTAGTTTTTCTTCCAGTTAACATTCTGCAGTTAAAGTTTTTAAAACATTTATTAGATTAATAAACTATCCTGGATTTATACCAAACTTTGACAGAAGCTTCTTACAATCAAAAGATAGTATCTAAAGGAATATTTTTATTGATTTTTTTCCTCATTTTTGTTGAGCCTGCGATTAACAGCAAAAGTAGGCGAGACACTGGGTTCCGTGGAACCCTTACGAATTTTTTAATTTCCTGCATCATACATTTTGAAGGCAAGGTTTTGGAAGTTGTCTTTTTAAATTAAATTATTTGAAGTTGATCATTATCAATATGCCTAGGAAACTGAAAACTTTTAAATTTCATTTAGTCTTCATTGGTTGGAAGAAGTTTTAAAACAAGGCACTTGCTACGATTACCCGCAATAGGTAACAATAAGAAATAATTATTGTTACTTTGGAGACTATTAATATATATATATGTCTCTGAAATATGTAAAACAACCTGTACGGGGCAATGACATGAAGGCAGTACAATGTATCAAGATGCTACACACAAAAAGACATAATTTGCAAATATTATGTTAAATTTTGCAGGTAATAATAACTGCAGGGAACTATAAAAAATGATAATATTGTTACCTGCAATTTCTGTACGAAATCTGGTCCCTGTCCGGAAATACTTTTCGGGAATTTGTCCCTGAAGTAACCATTATTATTTCTTATTGTTACTTTTTGCGGGTAATGGTACCTTAAAACAAAGGGGTAAGATTGGTAAAGTGCATATTTGGCCCCAATTATTAGGTTCAATTTTTCAAGATAAAAAATGTTTTAAGTTAATGAAAAGACATGTGAGAAAGTTAAATAGAACTGTTTTTGTCAAGTTTTATTTTAAAGCGTTCATTTTTACATCCCAAATTGGCCAAAAATAGAGATTTTTGCGAAATTTGACAAAATCGCCAGATTTCAACCAGATTAATGCCCAAGAAACATAGAGCGCAGGTTTCGACGAACTAAATTTTCAAGTCAAATATGTTAGATAACAAACATTATGTTAAAAGATATTTTTTGTGGACGCATGCACTCTATGCTTCCTGTCAAAAAAATCATTGGAAATATACCCGTTTTCACTGAAATTTCATGGAAAGTAAAAATGAGTACTATTTGGGATGTCATGAATAGAACGCAAGTATGTAAATTTTCAACAAAAAGACATATTTTCTATTAAGTGATTGTACTAGCTTATATGCATTGTAATATTAGTTAATAAATCCTAATTTGAAATTGTAGCTAGAAATAGACGCCATTTTAGAACCTTATAGAACCTACTCCTTCGTTGAAATTAATCAGAACTTAAAATTTTAAGTTGCTTTTTGATTTTGTTCTTAATCAACATTACCCAAATAAACCAAGTTTGTTTTCACTGAAATTTCACACATTTCCATGAATGAGTTATTGCGCATTGTAGAGAGATGGGTATAATTTATTCTAAAAATGTCTGTATATGGTCAAAAGAGATTGATTTCTTCAAGTCAACAAAAGTGTATGGCCTGCAGTGACAGTGTTAAGTTGTGAAACTCCTCTGCCAACAATGATGTGCTAGGAAAGGATTATGATACATTAGATTTACCTCCCTTTGGATGTAAAAAATCCAAAATTATAAAAACTGTTTATACTATCCTAGTATTACTGACTAACATTGTTTGAATCAAATACCCAGGATGTCTGATACAATTCCTGATTACCTGAGACATGACAAAACTTAAGACTGACAGTATTGACAGGAAATCTTAGACATCTGAGGGTAAGACGCTTAATCGGGCGATAGTTCCCTGAATCAGAGATACTAATTCTTACCTGGAGGGTATTGAGATTATTTCCTCTAAACTTTAAAGAAAATCAAAAAGCAGGAAATTGACCATGTGTGAGTTCTGTTCATGACAGTTTGGAGAGAAGAAATATCTTCATAGGATGTGGGACATATCTCCTTAAATAACTATGTCATTTGAGTGGCTATTGTCCAAAATTAAGTAACCTTTAAAATTAAATGCATTGATTAAAAGCTTTCTGCATAATTTAGAATCAATAGTATAATCGCTTTTAATCATCTGAATTCTAATCATATGTAATTTTTTTTTATTTGCAGATGATAAAAATTTACCCAGTGTGCCGCCTATAACTGTGACAGTACCAGAAAATTATCCTGATACCAGTCCAGAATGTGACTCCAAACTTCCTGAATATGGTAAGTGCCTGACAGTGAGAGGTTTTGCTTATATAAAAAAGAAGATGTTGTATAACTGCCAATGAGACAACAATTTACTAAAGGACAACTGTATGACTTCAAAAAAGACCCTGGGATGGCAATTTCTTCGTAGCCTTGTCTTTCCTATTTTTATACGACCGCAAAAATTAAAAATTTTTTGGTCGTATATTGGTATGACGTTGGCGTCGTCGTCGTCGTCGTCGTCGTCGTCGTCCGGCGTCGTCCGAAGACACATTGGTTTTCGCACTCTAACTTTAGTTTAAGTGAATGGATCTCCATGAAATTTCACCATAAGGTTCAATACCACAAAAGGAAGGTTGGGATTGATTTTGGGGGTTATGGTACCAACAGTTAAGGAATTAGGGGCCAAAAAGTGGCCAAAAATAAGCATTTTTATAACTTTCAGACAATAACTTGTGTGTAAGTGTATGGATCTCTCTGACATTGTACCACAAGGTTCCATATCACAAAGGGAAGGCTGTAATTGATTTTGGGGGTAATTGCCTCAAAATTTTAGGAATTAGGGGCCAAAAAAGGGGCAAAAAACAAGCATTTTTCTAGTTTCAGGACAATAACTTGTGTGTAAGTGTATGGATATTTCTGAAATTGTACTACAAGGTTCCATATCACAAAGGGAAAGCTGGAATTGAGTTTGGGGGTAATTGCCCGAAACGTTTAGGAATTGGGGGCCAAAAAGGGGCCAAAAATAAGCATTTTTCTAGTTTCCAGACAATAACTTGTGTTCAAGTGTATGGATCTCTCTGAAATTGTACTGCAAGGTACCTTACCACAAAGGGAAGGCTGGGATTGAGTTTGGGGGTGATGAATCATAAGGGGGTTCAAAAAATTTGGGGGGGGGGATTTTTTTTTTTTCTTTTTTTTCTTTTTTTCCTTTTTTTTTTCTTTTAAAATTTTCCATTTTAAGTTGGTTATTTCTGATTTATATTTAAAAGCAAATAATAATGATATGGTAGGAGATACACACCAAACAGGATGTGTAAATTATTATATAATAAGTATTGTGCAATAGCAAGAAATTTTCAATTGCACAGTATTGCACAATAGCAAGAAATCTTCAATTGCACAGTATTGCGCAATAGCAAGAAATCTTCAATTTAACAGTATTGCGCAATAGCAAGAAATATCCAATAGCACAATATTGCGCAATAGCAAGAAATTGTCAATTGTACAGTATTGCGCAATAGCAAGAAATATTCAATTGCACAGTATTGTGCAAAAGAAGATACTTATAAATTGCTTATTTCTTGATCAATTTCAATGGGGTTTTATTCTTGAATTCTTGGGGTTCTTTAATATGCTGAATCTAACCATGTATTAAGTTTTTGGATTTTGGGCCCCGTTTTTAAATTGGTCCACATTGAGGTCCAAAGGGTCCAAAATTAAACTTTGTTTGATTTCATCAAAAATTGAATTATTGGGGTTCTTTGATATGCCGAATCTAACCGTGTATTTAGATTTTTAATTTTGGGTCCCGTTTTTTAAATTTGTCTACATTAAGGTCCAAAGGGTCCAAAATTAAACTTAGTTTGATTTTAACAAAAATTGAATTCTTAGGGTTCTTTGATATGCTGAATCTAAACATGTGTTTAGATTTTTGATTATGGGCCCAGTTTTCAAGTTGGTCCAAGTTGGGGTCCAAAATTAAACTTTGTTTGATTTCAACAAAAATTGAATATATGGGGTTCTTTGATATGCTGAATCTAAACATGTATTTAGATTTTAGATTTTTGGCCCAGTTTTCAAGTTGGTCCAAATTGGGGTCCAAAATTAAACTTTGTTTGATTTCAACAAAAATTGAATATATGGGGTTCTTTGATATGCTGAATCTTACCATGTATTTAGATTTTTTATTTGTGGGCCCGCTATCAAATTGGTTCATATTGAGGTCAAAAGGGTCCAAAATTAAACTTTGTTTGATTTCATCAAAAATTGAATTATTGGGGTTCTTTGATATGCCAAATCTAACCGTGTTTTTAGATTTTTAATTTTGGGTCCTGTTTTTTAAATTGGTCTACATTAAGGTCCAAAGGGTCCAAAATTAAACTTAGTTTGATTTTAACAAAAATTGAATTTTTGGGGTTCTTTGATATGCTGAAGCTAAACATGTGTTTAGATTTTTGATTATGGGACCAGTTTTCAAGTTGGTCCAAGTTGGGGTCCAAAATTAAACTTTGTTTGATTTCAACAAAAATTGAATATATGGGGTTCTTTGATATGCTGAATCTAAACATGTATTTAGATTTTAGATTTTTGGCCCAGTTTTCAAGATGGTCCAAATTGGGGTCCAAAATTAAACTTTGTTTGATTTCAACAAAAATTGAATATATGGGGTTCTTTGATATGCTGAATCTTACCATGTATTTAGATTTTTTATTTGTGGGCCCGCTATCAAATTGGTTCATATTGAGGTCAAAAGGGTCCAAAATTAAACTTTGTTTGATTTCATCAAAAATTGAATTATTGGGGTTCTTTGATATGCCAAATCTAACTGTGTTTTTAGATTTTTAATTTAGGGTCCCGTTTTTTAAATTTGTCTACATTAAGGTCCAAAGGGTCCAAAATTAAACTTAGTTTGATTTTAACAAAAATTGAATTCTTCGGGTACTTTGATATGCTGAATCTAAACATGTGTTTAGATTTTTGATTATGGGACCAGTTTTCAAGTTTGTCCAAGTTGGGGTCCAAAATTAAACTTTGTTTGATTTCAACAAAAATTGAATATATGGGGTTCTTTGATATGCTGAATCTAACCATGTATTTTGATTTTGGACATTGGACCATAATAGGTAAATTAAAAAAATTGAAGTTCTTAGACCACATTCTTTCTGTGTCAGAAACCTATGCTGTGTCAAATATTTAATCACAATCCAAATTCAGAGCTGTATCAAGCTTGAATGTTGTGTCCATACTTGCCCCAACTGTTCAGGGTTCGACCTCTGCGGTCGTATCAAGCTGCGCCCAGCGAAGCATTTTATTTATTCCAAAAATTATATTGAGAAGTGCCCTTGCATACCTTACACTAGTTCATTTGACCAAGTGAGCTTTTGCCATCCTTTGGCATCCATGGTCCTTCATTGTAACTTTAAAAAAATCTCTTCTGAAACCAAAATACCAACTCCCTCTGTCTGTCATAGTAAACTTTAAAAAAAAAATCTTCACCTCTGTAACAACTGGGACCAATGTTACCAAACTTTACCTGAATGCAACCTAAAATAATAATTGTATCCAGGGTGTGATCCATCTACAAACATGGCAGCTGTTTTTAAAAGTAGTACATAGTGGTAAGATGCCATTTTTGGCTTGTCATAACCAAAATCATTAATCCACTCCTCAAAAAAAAAAGAAACTTTGTCTTTATATTCCATATGGTGACAGTTGAATCTTTCAGGCACCTATGAGCCTCTAGTTTATACAGCAGTTTTGATAACTGAGTAATTTGTAGTAATCATTATTGCCTGTCATTATTATTGATAATTTGCTGTTTTCTACCTTGACATTTTTCATTTCTCACACTTGACCATTTATCTTTAATTCTGGCATTTGTTTCCACAACAGTGTAGGATTGGCTTCGTTGCTTAGACTTAATTTGTTTCAGATAGCAACTTGAACAATTTCCAGGTATCAAATTTGTGTAACTGTGCTTCATTTGTAAATATTTATTTGCTGCTTATGTAAGCAGAATGAAAGCTTTACTTTAATTATTGTTGATTATTTTATTTAAAATTGGCAGATGATAGACAGTTTATATTGAAGTTTATTTGTGGAAAATAACAATAACATATCAGGTTGTAAGGGAAGCAGGGAGGTGCAGACAGAAACATGTTACATTCTTTTTATAGAAGCATTCTGGATAAATGTTCACTTATTCAAGTTTATTTGTTTATATTGCCAGGGTGCTGGTGGAGATATGTTTGTTATTCTGTAACAGCTCATGCAATTAGTACTTATAAAAGAATTGTATCAAATTGCAACTTCCTGGATAAAAATAAAAAAAATTGATGTCAAATGTAATGTATATTGAAATTGGTATCCAGAAGAAAAACTTTTTTCTTTGACTGAAATCTCATCACTGGGAACATTAGTTGTACATCAAAATTGATATACTTGACACATTCCCCGTTTCCATTCTCAATTTTATACTGATTTTCCACAATTTTCATTTCTTACTTATATAAAGGAAAAATTAAGACAAAATGTGTGACATGGTCTCTCCAATCCAGCACATTTAAATCAACCCCAACATACTTTACAGAGAACCCTCCACAAACTAAAGATAAGTTACCTCCAGTCACACAAATGTGCACCTATAACTTGTCCTTGGGTTTATGCTTGGTAACAGTTTTGATTACTATTCCTGAATAACTGCACTGTATGTCTGGGTAATTAGAATTCATTATCACTTATGGGAATGGAGCAGTTCTCTGTGTTTTTTCTCAGTTAAACAGGTTAAAAAAAAGATAGTCCACACATACACAATTTATTAAATCATAAAAATTTCTTTATTTTAAAAAAGAGCAATGTTGCTATATTTATCCCCTAAAACAGTGTCAGATAGTGTGTCAGCCTAAATTTGATTTGACATTGACTAATTGAATGAATCTCTCAGGTGATGATTATCCAGAAATCAGGATTAAGGTGTAATTGTCACTTGATACCAGTAGAATTATTTATTTAAACCATTTGTTTGCATGAAAAGATTTTGATAGAACAAAAATCTATTTGGTATAGTATTACTTGATAGTAAAATCTTACATTTTCCTTGCAAACATTTGTTTGAAAATATACATTGTATTTCCTTTCGTAAGTATTAGAGATGCTATAAAAATGTTCAATATTGCATTCTTATTGAATTTGAAAGAAAGAAGAAAAATCAGATTTCACCAACAATTTCCTTAGTTCTGTTTCTTTAGTTATAGTAGTTTCTACAATGCATTTTGTGCTACAGATTAAAATAGATTTTGTTAAAAAAAAGTGTTAAATTTGTTATATGTATCCGTGTCATATAGATCAGATTCAACATTTAAACCTATGAATATTAGGCAACATTTAAATGAAGCAATATCTGTTGAATCTTTTTGGCCAAGATTTTGACCGGTATCTTTTAAAGCTTAAATAAAACCTTCGAGTTAAATTGCTGTAATTTTATCAGTTGACTGCAAGTAATCCTGATGGGTAGCCATATAATGGTTATGTTTACCACCAACAAAGGCTGCAGTTTTGGACATAATGACAAGAATGCCCATGTTTGGAATCATATTATCTTTTTTTAACAACTTATATAACTAACAATACTCGGAGCATATTTGATATATATATATATATATATATATACATGTGTTTTTTAGTTGCAGTTAGTAATTAGGCAACTTGTTTTTGTCCCCTGCGCAACGTGTTGCAGGGGACATAGAAATACCGGGACTCCGTCTCTCCGCCTGTACGTCTGTCTGTCCAGTCTTGTTAGCACTCTCACGTGTACCATTCTTGCCAGATTTTTATGAAACTGATATCATAGGTTTATATCAGCAATGTCTTGGACAAGTTCGAAAATTTGTGCCAATCATATATTTTTAAAAGAGTTATGCCCCTTGGAAACATTGATTATATGGAAAATTGCATCGTTAGTGCTCTCATTGTACAATTCTTGCCAGATTTTTATGAATCTGATATCATAGGTTTATATCAGCAATGTCTTGGAAAATTTCGAAAATCAGTGCGGATCAATTATTTTTAAGAGTTATGCCCTTGGAAATATTAATTATATGGAAAAATGCATTGTTAGTGCTCTCATTTGTACAAATCTTGCCAGAATTTTATGAAACTTATATCATAGGTTATCTCATCAATGTCTTTGACGAGTTCGAAAATCAGTGCTGATCAATTATTTTTAAAATAGTTATGCCCCTTGGCACTATTGATTATATGGAAAATTGCATTGTTAGCACTCACATGTGTACAATTCTTGGAAATATTAATTATAATGGAAATTGCATTGCATTTGCTCTTAAGGCTTCATTTCTCTAAGATTTATATTAAAAGTTTTAAAGAACAATTAAAAACTGATTTTTTTTAGTAATTGCCCTTGTACCTTGGATAGATAAAATATGTGCAACACAGGGGACATTGGAACTCTGTTCTTTTATTGTTCTTAGCATCAGAGAGAAACTTGCTTATTTTACTTATATTTATAAGTTTATTACATAACATGTAAGATCTGTCTTTGAATAGTTTGGCAGTTGTTCCCAAGATAATGCTAAAAATGATAACTTGGACAATAAATTGTTAATAAGTTAAACATTTAATGTGATGCAAGTAACAGATGGTTGTCTCTGGTGATTAAGTTTGCAGGATTTATTAGAGACTTTCATAAATAAGAATAAAGAAAGATAAAAATACCCAAAAGACATCTAGAGGTAAAAAAATGGACAGTTTGCTATACAATATGTCAAGTTCTAATCTGATAGGGTAGATGAGCTACTTACACCACTAGGCTACTAAGGCCTAGGCTACTAAGGCCTCCTTTACATTTGACGTGGCTCTGTACTTATGCATCCTGTCATTGTGTTGTTTGTATTATTTTTCATTTTTACTTATGTGCTTTGTCCTTGTGACTTTATATGTTTCTTTGATACATATGACATGTCTCTGTACTTTAAACATCCGGCCATTGTGTTATTGTTTGTGCTTTTGATTTTGCCATTTGATTAGGAACTTTCCGTTTTGAATTTTCCTCAGAGTTCAGTATTTTTGTGATTTAACTTTTTTCTAATTGTCACTAAAACATTTAATTAAATATATGAAATAAAGGGGAACAAGGTGGCAGTATTACATGCATTGAATGTTTGTGTAAGCCAAATATATTGAAAATGTGCACATTGATACATTTATTCATGATAAAAGGAGCTCGTCTTTCAAGCCCATCACTGCACCCAGCTACTGAATATAAGTGTTAATTTTTGCAATATTTCATTAAAATCAGGGACATTAAGCATTGTTGGCAGAAGATCACTACATTCAAGCAAATTTTCCAAACACTCCATGTCACTGATGACGTGCTTTTGGGAATTCTTATGGCATGGTATTTCGTTTAATGTTATCTGAGAATAGTGGATAAACATTCCCTTAATTCTCATGGCCATATCATTTACCTGTTCCTAATCAAAACAATTAGTGATGTAACATTTGTTATATAATAAAGCTGTTTTATTAGATCATTATCATTATAACAACTAATGTATGACATCACAATCCTACTTCAAATATAAATTGATTCTAACAATTGTAGCAATAAAACAAAAACAAAAGTATACTGTAATTTACATCAATAAATTGAGTTATTGATTTTTTTTTTCAGAAACAAATGCTTTCCTGAAATCAGTTCATCAATCCATGTCTGTTTTATTACTGAGAATGCCAAACAGATACACATTTACAGAGCTGCTTGATAAATGGGTAAACAAATATTACTTCATCTTGAGATTGTCAGTAAAAATTGATGGAAACAGTAGAATATGTCCAAGCGTACCATGTTTGCAATGATGTCTCAGATATTTTTATTATAGAAATTAATTGATTAAAACTTTTACCAATTTTTAGCTTGCCTGGCATCAGTAATCTTTCATTGTATGTCGTCGTCCTTTTAAAACATTTTTTTTACAAACATCTTCTCCTCTTAAAACAACCTTGGCCTAATTTAACCAAACTTGACAAAAATCATCAATTGGGTATCTAGTTTAAAAAAATATGTCTGACAACCCTGCCTGCCAACCAAATTGGCTGACATGGCTTATAAAAGATCATAGGGCTAAAAATACTAAAATGCAAGTTTTGTCTACTATCTTGAAATCACTGTAGACAAGAGAAAATCTGACTTGGCAAAAGTTTTCTGAATAACAAGATCTACCTACTGTCTGTTTACATCAAAACTGTATATTACAGAATTCCTAATACAATCTTTTAAGGATGGACATAGGCACTCACCATAGGGCAAAGTCTCAATTGCAAAAATGACTAACAAGTATTGAATATGACTTTAAACAAAACAATATTCAGAATAAACCAAAAAAAAATGAAAGTGACAGCAACAATCACTGATGTGAAACTTGACTAAGGACAGGCACAAAAAATGGCAGGGTTTAGCCATATTTATAAGTACACAAATTTGTTCCTATAATCTTGATCAGTAGTTGAACAAATACAACTTAAAAATTTTCAATCAACATTGCTCAGTACATTAAAAAACACAACCAATGTTTTTGAAAATAACATAGAAATTCACAAGTCATATGCATAATAACACTGTCTCAGTATAATGAATGTATGACTGATTTTTTTAGGAAATGAGTGTAAGGAAAGCTTGTGCTGCTTCAGTTTGAACTTGCTATACTGGTATCTGATGATAATACAAGTGTACTTGGAACCAGCTGGTTCATTCCTAGCAGAAGGTTATTTCAGAACATTGAACTACTTAGATAACATTGTGTTGTTCTGATTATGACATATGGAAGCAATGATTTGATTCAGGAGACTTTGCTGGACAAAATACATGGACATAGACACAGCTGTTATATAGCTATATATTTTGTATAATAAATTCAAAAGAAAATGGTTTGAAATTTCATTGTTTATTATAAATTGTCAAAAGCAATAATGCATCAGCCAAAATGATGAAGGTTGCTTGAAATATTAATGTATCAGAAAATAGTTGTACAAAAATTTGTAAATGTGGCTCCAGTCAGATATCAATATCAAGCATGACCACCATTGTCAAAATAAATTTTTCTGGGTTGCTGATCTTCTTGAGAAACACTCATTTCATTAAATTGAATATGACAAAAGGATCTTATATGATGCTAACAGAGTGTTATGCAACTTTGTTGACATTTGGTCAAACAAACTTGTAGTTTGTGAGGGCTTACTTTTTTTTTGAAGACTGTAGAAAATATTTGTAAAATGCAAAGTTTATAGAAAAATATTCTTTCAATTGAAATCCAAATCAGAAGAGGTGTAGGTTACTTACAGCTTTTTCATACTTTGGAACCATTGGACTAACCATGACGTATACCAACAAGGAACTTAGTTATACATCATAGCCAATAGGAATGTGTTGAAAAATGTATTTTTTAGAACAACCTGAAACTGAGAATAACAAAACTTTATATACCTATATGGAGTTATTTCTTTCAGAACGATAGGTCTTTCTTTGAAGAATCAACCCAGACGATACCAAGTTTCAATGAAAATTGCTACAAGGCATAAAATAATAACCTGTATAAGGTCATTATTTTCCCTGATTAAAATGCAAACTATAATTAGTCCCCTACCAACGAAGTCAAAGGGGGTTTTAGGTTTGCACTCCGCCTGTCTGTCTGTCTGTCCATCCATCAGTCCAGCAAATCAGTTTTCCACATTTTTTTATACGACCGCAAAAAAAAACGTTTGCGTCGTCGTCGTCCGAAGACACATTAGTTTTCGCACTCTAACTTTAGTTTAAGTGAATGGATCTCTATGAAATTTTACCATAAGGTTCAATACCACAAAAGGAAGGTGGGGATTGATTTTGGGGGTTATGGTACCAACAGTTAAGGAATTAGGGGCCAAAAATAAGTATTTTTGTAACTTCCAGACATAACTTGTGTGTAAGTGTATGGATCTCTCTGACATTGTACCACAAGGTTCCATATCACAAAGGGAATGCTGGGATTGATTTTGGGGGTAATTGCCTCCAAATTTTAGGAATTAGGGGCCAAAAAAGGGCAAAAAACAAGCGTTTTTCTAGTTTCATGACAATAACTTGTGTGTAAGTGTATGGATTTCTCTGACATTGTATCACAAGGTTCCATTTCACAAAGGGAATGCTGGGATTGATTTTGGGGGTAATTGCCTCCAAATTTTAGGAATTAGGGGCCAAAAAGGGGCAAAAAACAAGCATTTTCTAGTTTCATGACAATAACTTGTGTGTAAGTGTATGGATCTTTATGAAATTGTACTACAAGGTTCCATATCACAAAGGGAAAGCTGGAATTGAGTTTGGGGGTAATTGCCCAAAATGTTTAGGAATAAGGGGCCAAAAAGGGGCCAAAAATAAGCATTTTTATACGACCGCAAAAAAATTTTTGTGGTCGTATATTGGTATGACGTTGGCAACCTCGTCGTCCGGCGTCGTCCGAAGACACATTGGTTTTCGCACTCTAACTTTAGTTTAAGGTAACACGATACCGAATGGCATATCTCCTGATTTCTAAACTTTTTGGCACACTTGTTCTTTAATTCGAGTTACATCGGAATATGAAATAAAAAATGGGGGTCACCATTCTTGTTTTTTTGTAATTTTGATAAGTAAATGTCAATTTTGGCACCATACATAGATATATAGGGAAAATGCCATTTTTTCGACTTACTTTTCTAGATTTTTCAACGGATGGCTATTTTCTCATATACGGAGAAAGACTTAAAACTAACATAATATTCAGGAGTGTATACCAAATCCATACATGTATAAAAAAACATATGTCACCATCCTTGTTTTTTAGATAAATCGCTTCAAAGATGACCGATACGCTTAGTAATTGACAAAAATTTGTGACGTTACGGAATACAGAATAACGTTATTTTTATTCAGAGGGATTGAAAAAAAATATATGTAACGGGATCTGAATGGTGTTTGTTATTTTATTTTCATTCCCCCTGTCGGAAATTTCCTAATAATTCAGTATAACATTTGACTGAGTTAATTTTATTTCGTCCTAACTGTGTGCACTTTTAGCTTTCAAAACTGAATCTTCAACTTAACCCTACCAAACTAGACAATGCTGATGACACCGATGTATCTATGCATGAATAAAATAAAGTGCTTCAAAAATTTGATTTGGTAAACAGTGATGTCGAAGTACAATTTGAATTGATTGATTGATGGTTGCTTGACATCCAGTGGCAAATATTTCATGGATTTTCAGGACGATACAATACAATTTGAAAAGTTATGTCTAAAAGACTCATTTGATGCAGCCGTCAAAAAAGGTTACACATTCTGTTAGTTGTGAATAATATAAAGAAAATCAACATCCTGATAAAATACGTATTCTATAAATATAGTATACTTTGTACGATGTAAACGTGTAGGTTGTGTGCGTTATTAGTCGGACAAACCTCCAAACTGTATGCAAAATTCACTTGAATAGACAAAGTTCAATATTCTGTCATTCGTGGAAAATTATTAAAAAAAAGTGATCCTGAGAATATACCTGCACCCTCAATATAGGTAAAAAAAGACTTGGTGCAATTTATTATCAAAATGCCAAATTCAGCAACCTGTCATAAAAAAATAAAAATCTGACAAGATGCGCGTATTGTTTATGTACTAACACCAAGTACATAATTTAAAAGTTAAAGCTTCAAAACTGTAATCCTAAAAAAATCAGCCGTATAAACCCTATATACCAAGTAAGGGACGGACTGTCGAAGGACACGGGTAAAACAATATGCTCCCAGCATTTTGTCAAGGGAGCAAAATATATATTAGCATATATGATTATTTTCTATTTTATAAATCATTTGGTGACAAAATATCTTTTTGAATAAGCAGTTCATAGTGGAATGGTAATATGGAGATCTCAAATGTAGCAACGTAATCAAGCTAACGTCTACGTCATTTGGTCTTTGATGGAAAGTTCTCTAATTGGCAATCATACCACATCTCCTTATTTCATAAGCGATTGAGTTTTCTCCTGAAATACAAAAAATTTAAAGACGAACAAATACGTACTAGGAGACTGAAATATGTTGCTGTTATAGTTAAAATCTGACTTTTGTTGTGAACATGTGATGTTATAATTTGATAGGTTTGATACTTGCCATAATAAATATACTTATTAACTTTCCAATTCAAGGGACCAACGAATCTTTACTAAAACTACAAATTAGCAGTAAAAAAATACTCGTCCATCCTGCATTAGTCGCGTGTTATATAGATGTTTTTGGTTTTTAGTGTCGTTCATTGGCCATTTTCTGTTTTATTGTATATCCCACATTTCCATTTATGCGCACAAAGAAAAAACAACCCTTTTAATTTACATAAACACTTGTATACTTGTTGTAAAAACTCCATTTAAGACTGCGACTATGTGAGCAATATGCCCTTCCCCCAAAATGCACCTTTGCTAATCGTCTGTGAGTCGTTTTGTCTCCCCACTTTGTGAAAAGTGTTACCTGTACATTATGTCCAACTCAAAAATCCAAAACCACACCCCTTCCCGAAGACAAAATGCAAATTAAAATGAATCTAAAATAAAATTGATTTTAAGATCTCATTGGATTTTTTTCTTCCGCGCGACGCGTTGTGGTGGACATACAAATACCGGGCGTCCGTCCTTCCGTCCGTCCGTTTGTCTGTCCGGTCTTATTAGCTGTATGACGTGTACAATTCTTGCCTGATTTTTATAAAACTTATATATTAGGTTTATATCAGCATGTTCGCTGACAAGTTTGAAAATCAATGCAGATCAATTATTTTTAAAAGAGTCATGCCCCTTGGTTATATTAATTAGTATATGGAAAATTGCATTTAAAAGCACTCTCACGTGTACAATTTTTTGCCAGATCTTTAAATAATTTATATTAAAGGTTTATATCAGCATTGTCTTGGATAATTTCGAAGGTCAGTGCTGATCAGGTATTTTTAAAAGAGTGATGCCCCTTGGAAATAATAATTATATCGAAAATTGCATTGCATTTGCTCTCAAATCTGCATTTCTCTATTAACGATATTTATAAAAAGAAAAAAAAAAATCAAAGAACAAACAATTTTTGTTAAAGTTATAATAGCCGTTGACAGATACAATATGTACAACGCGGGAGGGGTGGGGGTGGGGGGCATTGGAACTGTTCTTTTAATCAGTTTGTTTTTGCCGTTTGAATAAAATAGGTTAATGAAAATATCTTGTTTCCGTTCGAAGTGCTACTCTGGATTTACCTTCATCGAAGCACCGATTATTCATTCATTGTGGGGCCACAGGTTTTTAATTAATCGTTTGATTGTAAATTTCGAGAAAATAATTTATTTCAAAACGGAATTGAAAGAAAAGATGTAACAGGATCTGAATGATTAAATTGAATTTCGACCTAACCGAGTGCACATTTAGTGTTGACATCCCATATGTTTAAGCATTTGTTAACTTTCTGCTTATTCCGATGTGGCTGTCCTGTTTAGACTGTGACTATTAGATTACAATGCTAGTTATTTTTTTTAAACAAGCTTTCGAAACCATATCAGATTTCTTCTGTACAGTCCAATAAATTTCAAAGACTGTTTACACTTGAAACATAGGAAAAGTTGTTCGGCCAAACAGCCAATTTAATCTACTCTTCTTTGTTCATTCCATGCCAATTAACCAGTTTCTATCTGAGTTTGTACGTCTGCTTGTATGGTGCTTTTTTCGGAAAAAATCTATCAGTATTCTTTTCCAAATAAATTTCCTTTTTCTATTTTGCTAGCGACGTTTTTCGGTGACCATTGAAAAACGAATGGGCTTCTTAGCGGAATTGCATTAATTGTCGTACAATTCCCCGTATTTTCATACATTATCATGCGTTTCTATAATTTGGTATTCT